AAGTCATAAGGAAAGCAAAGTAGATCTTAAAAAGACTTATGCCTCAACAAGAATGTTGGAGTGGAAGTGCAAAGGAAATTTGTTTTTGAATGCTCCACTCATGTGCTCAAATTGGTATTATCTATTTTATTGTATTTATTCATTGAGTATAATTACATTAGCATGACTATTAATTATTGGTTTATGTGTGCTCACTCTTTGATACATATACTTGTTGAGTATGATTTCATTTGATGTGTTTTTCCTAGTGCTTGATATGATTCTTGAAATTAATGAATTTGATTATAAGAATTTGTGTATATTGATTCTTTGATTTGTGTACCTTGATTATATTCATGCTATTTGATGATGCATACATTGATATATGACTAAAGTTGCATAATTTAGTAGTTGATGTTCAATTTAAACTTAGTTAAATGAAGAAATGTCAAATTAGGTACACTCCCTTCAAAACAGCCCCAAACTTTCTGTTTGTCCCAATCAAGGCCAGTAGAGCCGGCTCATCCCTTTCCACAGCCGGCTCAACCAAAAATCGAGAGTGTTCTCTCTCTACACCACAGCCGGCTCAACCCAAAAAAAAAAACCAAGACTCTTCTCTCTCTAAACCACAGCCGGCTCAAACCGCAGGTGACTCGACCCGGACCCGCTTTACAGCCAGCTCTGTAATTATAGCCGGCTCTCCTGCAGAATTTTTAAATATTCGGGCTTCTCTCTCTTCGAACCAGATCTGCCATTCTCCTCTCCCAAAACTCGCCATTCACTCTCCCAAACACCAAAATCCCTCCAAATCTCCAAAACCCGTCCCTTAAACACTCAAATACCATCAAATCCTTGCCTACCCAACACAAAACCTCAAGCTTTTCACTTCAATTTGTGTGGGATCTGTTGTATTTTTGGTGTGGCTATTGGGATTTCTCTCTCATGGCTTCAAGAAGGGCTGGAAGTAAAAGGGAAAAAGTGGGTAGTTCTAGCACCGGTGGTCAAGCTCAAGAAGAAGGTAACATCTCCCAATCAAATCTCTTTTTGGATACCCAAGCCTCTGCACAGTATGAAATTATCAAGAATATGGCTGTTTTGTCTTGCAATTGTGTAAAATTCAGTCAATTTCCTCAATAAGATATGTGTGTTGAACAAATTTTTAGGGAACTTGGGTGGAAGGATTATATAGAAATTAAAGAGCCTGTGTACTATGAAGTTGTTCATCAATTTTATGCTAATCTAAAACCAAGAGGGAATAAATGCAAAACTATGGTTGCTGGGGTGTCATTTCAATTTTCACCAAGGGATATTTGTGCTGTATTAGATATACCTGAAAGAGGAGATGATGAGTTTCTAGATGTGAATCATGCCTTAGTTAGAGCCACAATTGCCCCCAATTGCACTGAAAATCAAATTAAAGTGGGGTCTCTTACACCAGAGAATAGAGCATTGCAGTGGATTATATCTCGCATTATTGCTCAGAGGAAGGGTTCTAAATCTTATGTTCTTGCCAGTGATCTTCCCTGGTTAGACTATCTTCTTAACGGAAAAAGGGTGAACCTAGGAAGATTCATTTTCTGGAGTATAATCAAGCCTTACTCACCAACTACGGGATTTCCTCATGGTGCTTTAATTACCAGATTGGTGAAGAGGAACAATATTGATCTTACATCCTTTAGGTTTGGAACGGTTCTCGGTGGGACTACACTTACCAAAGCTTTTTTTGAAAAAATGGACTGTTTGTTTAGAAATGACATTTGGATAAAGAAAGGGGAACAAGAAGGGGATGAAGAAGAAGGTGATACAGATCAAGAAATGGCAAAACAAGGGGCAGAAGAACATGAAGGTGACAGCCCAAGACCATTTCGAGTCTCCATGCAAAGAACTAACTGTGAAACCATGGAGTTAATGATATCTGAGATGCAGCAGCTACACATCGACCTTTATGGTTTCCGGACAGAAATGAGAGAGAGAATGACTAATGTGGAAGGAAAGCTTGATCAGCTTGTTAACCATTTTTTTCCTCCACCCCCCACCTAGTGCCACCTAACTTGATATTTCTTTAGTTTGGCTAATCTTTAGGATGGACATCTTAGGGTTATGCATGTTATGCTTTTATTTGTCTATGGATATTTCTTGAACCTTTTTATTTTGTTTTATGAATGGAAATGGCATGACTTGTGTTATCATGCTTTGTGAATGGTTGTTTATGATTTTGATGATTATATGCTCTTATTGAGGGGGAGTTTATTGATTGATGATTATATTCATTACATATTCTTGATATTTTAAAGGTTGATAGCATGAATTAAGGGGGAGCATTTTGTGCTTAAATTACTTTTCTTAATGGTTATCATGCTTAAATGCTTTAAAGATTGATGTGCATGAATTAAGGGGGAGTTTGTTGATTATGTGTTTTTTGATGAATGACAAAAAGGGGGAGAGAATATGCGGAATTTAATGTCATTTTCTAGAGTACCTTGTGCTGAAATTTTGGTTAATATTGAAGTATATATGTGCTTTCATTAATTAATTCTCAAAGTGTTTTGTCATCATCAAAAAGGGGGAGATTGTTGTACCTATGATTTTGATGATTACAAAACACATTTGAG